TAATTACATATAGCTGGGTTTTAACCAATCACCGGCAGCCAGCTTGTTATACTATGTCTAAATAAGGCAGACATCTAGCCGTAGCCAATTAGAAAATCTCCCTACCATATTTATATTTGGCCTTTAAACCTCACTGCTCATATTGGTGGATGATTCTGATTACTGTCTGACTTATGACCTCACTATTGAGGTGGCAAGAATTGAATGTGGAAGGTTGTAGGGAGATGGAAGAAACAAAGGGAATGGGGGGGACCAACTAAAACTAATAGGGTATGAAAAAAATCCCTAAGGAAGACTGGTAATTGGTAAGATAGGTTAAAAGCAGAATGTAAAAACAATGAGTTTAAATGGAAGGATCCTGCATAGGTAGATAAAGCTTCTCCTGGGAATTGTAAGTCATTAAACTAAAATTTCTGTGTCAGAAGTAGCCACCTCCTTTGAGTTGTTGGTCAAGGCTACCTCTGAGAACCCCAAATAAAGAGGTCATTGTCTCTGTTGTTTTCTGTCCAGCAGAACTACATGGCAAGACCCTATTGCTGAAAATGCCGTTAGTGTCAGCCACAGGACACATAGAAATAAAGTTGAACTTTGGCTGAGAGCTTTCTTCCTCCTGGTTTGACGTCGGTGCCAGGGTATGCTATACAGCTTGCCAAGGAAGAATTGCTATGTGGTCTTACTCAGTCTAATCCTTGCATGCTATGCTATCAACTGGACCCACTGGTACAATTGTGGCAAGTATATATTATAGGGACAATCAAATACTTTCTGATTGAATTTCAAATCTGTACCAGAGGAGAGAATTTCTGTCTGGCATCATAGACAGTCAGACAGTCTGTGGCTATGGTCAGTGCTCATAGCCACAGAAGTCCTGAGTCCTTAAGGAAATTACTGCTAGTGTTTACTAAATGGACATAATGTGTCACCAAATTACTTCCTAGATAACTACATCCATGCCCATATATTAGTGCTATCAATTTGGGTCATAAAAGCTTCTTCTTGCAGTGCAGTCGTAGCTGCATGGATTTGTGATTGCTGGTGTCCTTATTAAAAACAAAATAAAAAACAAATAAATAAAACCCAGACATACAAAGAATCTCAAGTGTGTGTGCTTGTGAAGATACAGCAGCCAGTCAGTTGTGCCAAGGGAGGAGACTATAGAGGAATCTGTGTTTGCAGACATACAGATATTGAGGTTCGAGGCTTACAAGTACAAAAGAAATAAATTGTTATTGTTTAAGTTATCCAGCCTTTGGCATTTTGTTATAGCAGCCCAAGAAAACTTACACACATCAATTGAATCTACAAGAAAGGACATTTCAACACACTGCACAGCTTTCATTTTCTTTCATACCCAGCAAACTATACCATATATACCTTGCACATAAATTGAATAGAAATCTCTAAATACAGGTGCTATCAGTACTGAATATACTTTGTATAAGTTGTTAAGTGTGGAACATAGGCTGCAGAATAGACAACTCCAAGATTCTGAGTTCCCTTGTCACTGTAAATGTGTAAATTCCTATACACATTTAAATACATTACCAAGAACCAAACATTTAAAGTTGGTAATAAATATCCATGAAAATAGATGTAATTGTCATTGGCTGAAGAATAGGGCAACATGACTCTTAAAATGAAGCCTTACCTTGCTTTTGGGTTCAAGAATTTTTACTCCATAAATTGATATTTGCAATTCAACTTTAGGAATCTTCTGACCTTCAGATTTCTTGATGTGTCTTGCAAACTAGAAATGACAAATAAATCCACAATGTTATGGTTTCATTCCTGTGGAAAATGAACATAAATGTACATTTGGAGTTTTTGTCTGTAAGAGACATTTATAAATTCAGGTAGTACCCATTACAAAGCATCTCATAGAAATAGTTTTGCTCAGTAACCCTCTCTGTCTGGCATTATAATTCAGATTCATTTGCAGTGACTTACTTTTTCTTTTTCCTTTGTTTTTTGTTCATTTTCCTGGCTTTTATTTTGGAGGCAAGCTCTTCTTTTGTATTCCATGCCAGCCTAGAAATCATTACATAGATCCAGGCTGGCCTCAAAGTTATAACACTCTACTGCCTTAGCCTCTCAAGTGCTGTGATTATAGGTATGTGTCACCATGCCGATCTTAGTCATTAAACAACAACACCCCCCCAATCCACAAAACCTTGATTTTCATACATTTTGACATGATATTTAAAAGGCTGAATGTATACCAACCAACAAAGAAAGAAATGTGGGATAGTAGGTAGATATTACATCATTTCAACGTAATTTTATTTTAACACATTCTCAGAAGTTGCTTTTCACCTGCTGTTGAGTGACACCTAGTTAGTTGTGTACACTGTCCTATAAGCCAGACCAACAAAGACAACATTGACTGACATATTTAAACCAAAGCTACGAGCTCCAGTCATTTTATACATGAATGACTCCCGTGTGGAGCCAGATGTGGTTCTAGAATCACAAATACAGCATTTTGGAAGCACAGTGGTTTCTCCCTACTTTCATATCTGTCTTTGTAAAATCTAAAGGAAAATCAGAGTGGTTCTGCTCTCAGTTAGAGGAAGTTTCTGCCTATCTCTTCCCAGCTTCTTTAGATTTAATGGAAGAAAAATTATAAGATTCAACTGAATTTGAGTCTTAAACAGTAGATATGTCTACAAACTTTTAGTATTAGTATGGACACAAAGGTTTACCTATGTAATAAATAAAACATACATGTGCTATTAGAATTAATATGTCCTGGGCAGTATTTTGTAATACTTTTTAGTTTAATTGCTACTTACCTGAATCCATGGTTCACTGGGTGTCTCAGTTTCTGCCCAACTCCCTATTTTCTTAGCTCACTGGATATTCTGGTTTCTGCTGGCAACCCCTCTGACTCCCTACTTCTTTCTTAGCTCCTTCCCTCCATATGACTTTCTTTAAAAGAGAAAAAAGGAGACTTTTAAAGTAGTAGGATTGCTCACCCCACTCTCAGTGCTTCTACAACTCATTTCAGCATATGGAAAAACCTCTGAACTTGATTCAAACGAATCAGATGTGAGGTCAGGCAGAACTCCAGGGCTCTTGTGTGTCCTATTTATTTGCATTGTGCAATTCACTCTAATTTAGGACAGATGTGAGCATGCATGGTACAGTTGTTCCTGGGGCAGGGTGTTCAAAGACTTTTATTTCACGTCTTTGCACTACCACAGAGAAGAAGGTAATTAATGCCTACAGGAGTGCCTTGAAGTGTCTGCCTTCGAATCCCAGCTGGTGCTATTTGTTTTATTCCATGTTGGGTGGCATAATTTTTCAGCTTGCTCTTTCCTACATTCCTTTGAACATAAGCTGCTTAGTTATTATTTTTTCTTTTGTCTCTAGAAGTCTTACAGTGTGCACATGACATGCAACATGTGCCAAATACTTTTAGGTCTTTAAGAAACATGTTTTGCTTCCATGCAACCCAAAAGTTATTACAACTCTCCTTCAATGAATGTATATTACCTTTCTTTTCCACTGCTAGTATCCTTTTGACTTAGCATAATTAAGCAACTGTGAGGTTTCCATGCATGAAGTATTAACAGCACCAGTTGTTCTGTGTTCTTTACCTATGGAAGGCCACCTGAGAAAAGCCACCCCATGCTGCTTGATAGGCCAGGCAGTGGCTTCCAAGGTCTTTTCACCATCTGGAATCAGTAATTCTTGTGACCTCCAACAAGAATCGTGTAACCTTGTATTTTATGAAAATCTTGCTATAAAACACTCAGTTACTTAAAAGTTTTCTGTCTAGAAAGAAAAAAATGAATGGAAGAAATGAAGAAAGGAAAGAGTGTACACATACACACACAGACACACACACACACACACACACACACACACAGCACACACACACACACACACACACACACACACACACAACACACACACATGAGGAGGAGGGCTGGAGAAAGGGGAGTATCAGGAAAGGGAGTATGAGCAGATAAGAAAAAGAACTAAACAGCTGGTGTAATCCTCTGGCATCCCTCCCCTGCCTCATGTCAAGAAGAAGATAACAGTGCAAAAAAGCCTTGCATTCTCAGTTCCCATCCAATCCAGACTGCATTTCCTAATGTTCTTCAAGAACCCCAACTGTGAAATGGGCTGGTGACAAGCAGCCTGGAAGCTACACTTGCACCCTTGCACTTAGACCTCTTCCTTTAACATTACATTTTCTACATTTAAAAAATAAATTCTTCCATTCTTGTTTCATGTATATCAAGGCTCCCATCAGTTTTGTGACATGATGACTGAAAACACATTTGCAAAAGTCTTGTATCTAGAATTAGACTCACTGAGCTTTATGTCCTAAATAACTTGATAATCACTCCCTCGATGCTTTTTCCCCCCCATATCCATTCTTCTGCTGAGGGACATCTTCAATGAACATTGCTAAACAAATGTCCTTGTGGTAGGATGGAGCATCCTTTGTGCATATGTCCAAGAGTGGTGTAACTGGACCTTGAGTTAGATCAACTCCCGACTTTCTAAGGAACCACCATATTGATTTCCATAGTAGTTGTACAAGTTTGCACTCCCACCAAAAATGGAGGAGTGTTCCCCTTACTCTGCATCCTCTGCAGCATGAGCTTTCAACTTTGGTTATTGATCTTAGCCATTCTGATACCTCTGCAGCATGAGCTTTCAACTTTGGTTATTGATCTTAGCCATTCTGACAGATGTAAGATGAAATCTTAAAGTAGTTTTGATTTGCATTTCCCTGATGACTAAGGATGTTGAACATTTCTTTAAATGTTTCTCAGCCATTTGAGAAGCCTCTATTGAGAATTCTTTGTTTAGATCTGGATCATATTTTTACATTGGATTATTTTGGCTTTTTGATATTTCTATTATATGTGAAGTTGGTAAAAATACTTTTCCACTCTGTAGGCTGCCATTTTATCTGACTGTGTCCCTTGTCTTACAGAAGATTTTCAGCTTCTTGAGGTCCCATTTATTCATTACTGATCTTAGTGCCTGTACTATCAGTGTACTGTTCAGAAAGTTGTCTTCTGTCCAAAGTATTCAAGGCTATTTCCCACTTTCTCTTCTCTGAGGTTCAGTGTCCCTGGTTTTATGTTGAGGTCTTTGATCCACATGGACTAGAGTTTTGTGCAGGGTGATAAATATGGATCTATTTGTATTCTTCTACATGCAGACATCCAGTCTGACCAGCACCATTTATTGAAGGTACTGTCCTTTATCAGTATGTATTTCTGGCTTCTTTATCAAAATTCATGTGTCCATACATGCATGGATTGATTTCTGGGTCTTCAATTCAATTCCATTAACCAGCCTGTCTATTTTTATGCCAATACCATAAGACTTTTTGTTTGTTTGTTACTATAGCTCTATAGTACAGCTTAAAATCCAGGATGGTAATACCTCCAGAAATTCTTGTACAGGATTGTTTTAGCTATTCTATTTTTGTTGTTGTTTGCTTTTCCATATAGAGTTGAGTATTATAAAAGTCTGTAAAGAATTGTGTTGGAATTTTGATGGGGATTCTGTTGAATCTGTAGACTGCTTTTGGATGGCCATTTTTATTCTGTAAATCTCACTGTTCCATTAACATGGGAGATCATTCCATCTTCTAATTGATATCTTCTTCAAATTCTTCAAAGATCTGGAGTTTTTATCGTATAAGTTAGAGTTAGAATATTTTATATTCTTTAAGGCTGTCATGGAAGGTTTTGTTTCCCTAATATCTTTACCAGACTAGCTACTGATTTTTTAAATACATTATTATTGTTGTTATTATTATTATTTTAGTTAATCTTGTATCTAGCCTCTTCGCTAAAGGTATTTATTGGCTATAGGAGTTCCCTGGTAGAATTCTTAGGGTCACTTAAGTATACTATCATATCCTTTACAAATTATTCAGCATTTGTGTGCCACTTTGTGTTTCTTACACTTAAGTTGCTAAATATTCCCAATAACCATGGTGTTTATATCTAACTAAGATCTAAACATTTGGAGAAAAAAGACTGTGAAGACACAACAGAATTATGTTGCAGAGTGAAATCCAATCATGAAGACCTAAGATGATGATCATATCTTGACAATGCCTTCCTAGACTGTAATACATTGAAGCCGTTTCGTATATTTGAGTGGAGCTTCTTTAACTAGGAGATAGTCCTTTCAAACTGAGGCCAAAAGATTTTTTGTCACTACTCATGTCTCAGGGAGGCTGTTGAGTTAGTATCTATATCCCAGTGTGTATTCATATTGAAACATAACAAATGTGAACACATCTTAATCCTGGTGTTTGAACTGATTGTGTTGTTACAGACCTTTTCTGAAAATGAAATTCATAATAACAGTGCCAACTTTTATAGTATCTAACTTTTAGATACTTACTTCTTTTTTAAATAACAGGCTAAAGTATGATTAAGAAATAGAAAAATGGCATGCTGTTTTGACAAACAGAGTATGAAAGTATTTTCATTTTCACACAAATTACTTTTGAATTTAGAAACAATGAATTCTCTATAGTCAAAAAATAGTGATTCAGCAAATCCCTAGAAGTATTTTGTTAAAACACAAGCATACATCATGAAGTACAGGAGTATGAAAATACCATACTGAAAATTCTTTAAGATTTTCATCATCTGTGTTATGCTTACATTTCTAACTCTTACCTAATGTCAGAAGCCAATACATTTAAAATGCAAACTTAGAAAAGGGAGTAAATATAAATAACATTTTTAACTACATGAGAGAAAAATCTGAGCACAGCACTACAATATATTTACTAAAAATGTCAGGCAGAAGACATGTGTTTGGAGAAAATAAGCACAAAATCAAAATGGGGCTGCAGACATTTGGCAGTTTCTGTTTCTAATGGAACCACAGCGCCACCCCATGGCCATATCTATATGATAGCAAAATTTAAAATATGTGTAACTATTAATACATTTTATCATGGATTTTGACCTCTGACATAGCATAAATGAAGCAGTTACAACAGATAAAACTATTGTCTTACTCAGGTTCACTAGTACAAGATTCTCATATATATATATATATATATATATAAATATATATATATATATATATATTTGGTTGGGAATATATATATATTCCCAAAAAAGCAAATTTGTCAACCAATATAATTTATTTATCAAATGCGTATTAATTGTGAAAGATACACATTTAAAAAAAGCTACTGTCCATTAACTATATATTTCAACTATCTTGTTATTGTCCATTATACCCAATGAGAATTTATTTCTAAGCATGAAACTATATAGAAATGCCATATAAAACCTAACAAAATACATATAAACTAGTCATCATTTTAGAAGTCATTTATGTCCAAATATCTCTTTGGCATAGTCATAATACAATTGAATCATTATAGTTTCATATTTGAGATACTGAATGAAGAATTCCCAAGGTATAAAGAAATATTGCCAACATCCTTGTTCTTTTAAAATATGTTCTGGTTGCAGTAAACTTGTGCTCAACCCAGGTTTATACCACTATTAAAGCAATTAAATAGAGTCATAATTTAAGTGTTGCCACAAACTACAAGGTGTTTAGATAAAACCCTCTATTAGGGATTAAAGAGGTTGCTCAGATGAGAGCCACCCTGAACCATCACCTAACGATTAGTGGAAAGAAATGGTTACTGACAACATTTTCCCCAAATATGAGTGATATTATCTTGGGACTACATAAAATGTTTATTTACAGGACTTGTGTCAAATAGTCAGAAGACAGAATGCAAGAAAGCATGGCCTATTTCATTTCTTTATTCGGAATACAAATCTCATTCTGATCTTTTCCCTCAATTTAAATTTTGCATATACTTCACATGGCCTTCTGAAAACACTGTTGTAATTTTTAATGTTCATGATTCTGCCTGGAACAAACCACCAGGCCCAATATTCCTGTTGAATGAGCATATGATCTAGAACCCAGATCACAGAAAGATTGTCCCACACCCATCATGTGGTGAGAGAAGCCACAGAGAAATAAAGCTAACTTTGCAAATGAAGTAGTGGTCTGTAGATCCTGAAGATGCATGACCTCTTGAAGGAGTTTTCCCAATTGAAATCTCAGCGAGGCTGACTTTGGTCAGCTGGGCTGTTACATAAAGGTGTTTGTGGTGTGTAGGTGGTAAGATTTTATCAGGAAACTTACTGATATGAGAATATGAGTTCATGAGGTTGCATAAATTTTTCTCAAGAAATGTATTACTCATGAACATTAAGGCCTTTTAATAAACATTTTCTTTTGCTCTCTTAGTAACACAATCTCCCCTAAAACTGCTCATTGACATGGCCCATTGGGGTGTCCTTAATGAACAGCAGCCCTACAAAATTCTGCTTTGGAATAAACTGTAACCATCTTTTCAACTGTTAGAAATGATATTTTAACTGTAAAAGATTTCTATGATGCTGCTTCTAGTTTTGAGTTAAAGCATGGGTTCATATTGTCCAACAAATGCAAAGGCTGATCACTGAATTTAAACACTTATGGAGGGTCAAATAGTCAGAAGACAGAATGCAAGAAAGCATGGCCTATTTCATTTCAGCAAAAATAACTGTATGAAAGTGTTTATAATTCAAAATGTCTCCTTGAACAGGTGATAACTATTTAATGTTAATTTAATGAGAGTGGAGCTATACCTACCATAGTTGTCCATGTTTTGACTTCCATCCCCTGCTGATGACATGAGACTAATACACTAACCATTTTTTTCTGAGTGCTTTCCTTACCTTCAGCTTCCTCACAGCATCTCTCACAACTTCTGTTCCCTTTGGCTGCTCCACTTCGGTACTGCCAAGAAACTGAACGTGAACATTCATGAGACACGTGCCTCACTAAACCCCATCATCAAACTACTCAGCATAAGGAAAAGCTAGGCAGAAATTCAAACACAAATCCTCATTAAGGAGAGCAATTGTTAGCCAATTTGTGCATAACACATGAAAATACATCATTTGACCATTTACAGTTCCTAGTTTTTAAAAGATTTTTTTTAAAAACATCTTTTACCTATTTTCCTTGAAGATCCTACTGGAAAGAACACTGAAATGATTTCACTGTCCCTGAATAGATAAACTTAATCCCAACAGTTAAAGTTAGTGAGATTGTTAATTAGGTGTTACTGTCTTGTTATAATGGCTTCATGTTATAATCAATCACTTTCTCAAGGCTAAAATATACTCACATTGATAAGTATTACTGAAAGTTTAAATTCACAGGATATACATACTTTAATTAGTTATTATATTAAATTGTAATAGGATGCTTAACATTTATAATTTCAAAGAAGTATTTTTTCTTTGTTTTCCAATTATGAAACTCCTGTGATATGTAGAATCCAAAATCATACTTTAAAATACTCAATTTACACTGTTGAGTAATGTATGCATACTAGATTTAAAAAGTAAAATATACACAGCCTACAGTTTCACCATTTTTCTAAAATAACCCTGAAGTTGTTGGTTTTGTTAAAACTTGGGAACAATCCCCAGTGTATATTTTATTGATTGAGACCTTGTCAATATGTCCCTATGTTAGAGCATATTGCTTTCCCTAACATAACCCACCATGTCAGCTCACTGCGACAGAAGTCTGTGGTTTGTATGCTTGAAGAGCTTTATATGAATAACAATTAATCATTAAACCCATCAAGTGTGTAAAGTTTCCCAAAGACAGTTTTGTTCTTGTCATACACCACAGATCATAATACCAAAGTGGCATCACTTCTCATAGATACAGGGTGTTGTGTGCTCATTTTAGAGGAAGTGATTAAATAAGGTATCTTGATATGATTCTGTGTATTGCTGTACAAAATGAAAGAGAATAGTAAGGTAACAACATCTCATTTTATTTGCTTCAGTCTTGAAAAGTGAACTATTAATTAATCTAGAGCTTCATGTTTTTCATCTTAAATTTTATGTGTAGGGGTGTGTTGCCTCATGTATGCCTCTGCCATGGGTGTTCTCCTGGAACTGTAAGTTACAGATGGTTGTGAACTGCATGTGACTGTTGGAAACTAAACTTGGATCTTCTGGAAGAACAGGTAGTACTTGGAAACACTAAGTCATCTCTCTGGCTCCTCACCTTTAAAATACATTTTCTGTTTTCTGTACTACTGTCTTGAGAACTACTGCAACAGGAAATAAAAAATAAAATATGGAATTTCTTTATCAAATATATCAGAATGTCTAGGGATATATCCAGGAAATTATTTTCCTGAGGGTGATACTTTGTACTGAAGTCTGCAGGCACCTGGAAGACAGCAGGTTATGGGAATAGTAGATGGCAAACAAAAAAGTGAGCTGAAAACCCAATTTCTTTTCCTCTCAAGAAAGAAAGTAGTGTCTTTGCACTGAGATCAAGACTAGATTATATAAATACAACACACTATTTTTCTAATTAAGACAACAGGATTACATCAACAACTCTTCCTGAGGCTTACACAAGCATTCCTAATGGTAACACCAAGTTGTTGACTGACTACACACACACACACACACACACACACACACAAAAGACCAAAGAAAGAAATTCTTAGTTTAAAAGCCTAACTTCAAGTTGTGGATGACAGATTGACATAGCTTGACACCAATGGATTTATCACAGTCTGCTGTTTTACATCAGTGTTTTTAACCTTGGTCCCATGCAAGATCCAGGTGTAGTTATCATGCATGCCAATAAGGTACATTTCATAGGTCTGAATCAGAGCCAGGATGTCTATACACATTAAGCTTCAAAGCTGGTTTAAGGTGCCACTGGATTTGAAAGCACCGTGTCAGATCACATAAAGGACAAAGGGTTCAAAACAGAAGATTCAACAGCAAAAAAGCTTGGAATTAATTCATAGGTAGACAAACTCCTTTCCTCAGCTTCTCTGAATTTTTCAAAGCCACTGACAGACTCACCACTAAACTGTCATTAGCATGAAGAGTGAGGGACAAAGAAGTTTTTGTGTGTAAGCAAAACTAGAAGGGCATGTCTCGTCAATACAAGATAGTAACAATAACAGAAAAACAATTTTAGAGAATAATAGTCATTCTTTGGTAGAAATGGTCTGAGTCATAAGTATGTAAGTATTAAATGCAAATGTGATCTGCTCATGCAGGAAAATTATGGAAGAATTCTGTGGTAGTTTAAATGTAATTGGCCTTCATAATCTCATACACTATTAAGAGGTGTGGCTTTATTAAAGTGAGTATTTCCTTGTTGGAGGAAGTGTGTCACTGTGGTGGTGAGCTTTGAGGTTTCCTATGCTCAGGATACTGCACAATGTCAGTCAACTTCTTGTTGCCTGCAAGATGTAGGACTCAACTTCTCTAACATCATGTCTGCCTGCAAGCCACCATGATAATAATGGAACCTTTGAAACTGTAAGCCACCCCAATTAAATGTTTTCTTTATAAGAGTTGCTGTGGTTATGGTATCTCTTCATAGCAATAGAAACCCTAACTAAGACTACAAGATCGTTCTAAACAATTCATACCAATCAGTACTCCAGAAATGTTTTAAAACTTCTTTCCATGTGCTTTGCTTAAACCAATGGAATTCAACCAAGTATATTTCTCATTATTTTTTAATTTATTTTACATACTAACCACAGTTTCCCCTCCCTCATCTCCTCCCACTTCCCTCTAATTTCCCCCATCTTCCCTCTATCTCCCCCATCCACTCCTCCATCTACACTTAGATGAGATAAGGCCTTCCATTGGAATCGACAAAGCATGGCACGACAAGCTGAGGCAGGACCCAGCCACTCCCCACTGCATCAAGGCTGAACTAGGCATCCCACCATAGGGCATAGGTTCCAAAAAGTCAGTTCAAGCATCAAGAACAGGTCCTGGTCCTACAAAAGACAAAGCTACACAATTATTACTTAGATGCAGAGGGCCTAGGTCAGTCCCATGCCAGCTCCCTAGATGCCCATCCAGAGTTCATGAGCTCCCACGAACTTCTATAGCCACTTAGGAAATAGGTATGACAGTGTCTCAGAAAATTGGGAATCAATCTACCTCAAGACCCAGGTATACCACTCTTAGGCATATACCCAAAGGACATCTGCTCAGCGATGTTCATAGCAGTATTATTCATAATAGCCAGAATCTGGAAACAACCTAGATGCCACTAAACAGAAGAATGGATAAAGAAAATGTGATTCATTTACACAATGGAGTATTACTCAGCAGGAAAAAAACAATGACATCATGAAATTTGTAGGCAAAATGGATAGAACTAGAAATAAATATCCTGAGTGAGGTAACCCAGACCCAGAAAGACAAACATGGTATGTACTCACTCATAAGTGGACATTAGATTTAAAGGATAACCAGGCTATAATCCTCAGCTCCAGAGGAGCTAGGTAATGAAGAGGACCCTAAGAGGGACATATGGATTTCCCTGGGAACAGGAAGTAGATGGGATATCATGGGTAAAGTGAGGGCAGGGGTGGTGGAGTAGAGGGAAGAGGGGGATGGGAACATGAGGGATCAGGATGGCCGAGTTGTAGGCAGGACAGAATGGGAGAGTGATGGGGGTATCTTGACGGGGGGGGGCATTGTAGGGTTAGAGAGAAACATGGTGCCAGGGAGGCTCCTGGGAACCCACAAGGATGACTCCAGCTAAGACTCCTAGCAATAGTGGAGAGGGTTCCTGAACTGGCCTCCTCCTGTAATCACATTGGTGACTGTCCTGGTTGTCATCATAGAGCCTCTCTATACCTGATGGAAGCAGACACACAGATCCACAGCCAAGCATTGGGCTCAGTTCCAGGAGTACAGTTGAAGAGGGGGTGGAGGGATTGTGTGTGTCATGATTGTGATAGGGAGACCCAAGGACATCTTAATGTGGATTTTGTTAGTTAACTCAACTTTTCCTTTCATAAATTAAGAAATACATTTAGAGCCTGTCATAGTGTCTCACACCCACAATCCCCAGACATTGAGATGGGGATCAGACTAACCTGGACTATATAGTGAGTTCAAGGCCAGCGTAGGTTTACAAAATAGAGCAAGGTACATGCGTGCACATGTGTGGGCATGCACACACACACACACACACACACACACAGACAGAGACACACACACACACAGATACACACACACACATCCATACCCACATATACACATAAACACATACATAAATAATACACATGTATACATACACATATACACACACACACTTATACACACAGATACATACTTGTACACACATACAAATACATGAAACATATATTTATGTAATATACAAACTTGATTTTAGAACTGAAAATGTTTTGCTTCTTATAATTCCTCTTAATTTTTAAATTTATGTGTATCTCAGTGTTTTGTATAAAGAATTTGAGAAACTCAAACATAATGTAGGGAACTAGAATAAGCTCTAGAATTAGAGCATGGAAATGTTAGAAAGTCACCATAGCCTTGGCCTTAACTTTTCTGAAAAATAAGAATATTAATATTGTTCTTCGATCATTGTAAAATCACCTTAAAGAGAAACTGAAATAACAGATTAAAAAAAGAAATAGCAATGTGGTTACAAGTATGATAAATGCCATTCTGGGTTATCTGCTGGTGAGCAGCTGGTTTGGAGATAGTGCTGGTGCTTTCATGACTCTCCTGGAATCCAGCGGACCAGCTCACAGACCCAGCCTCCACCTTCCACAGACTTGATGTTTTTGCAGCCTTCAGAGCTTTCTCTCTAGACAATGCCATCACCTTGCCAGTTCTGAGAGATACAAGCATTTCAGAGAATTTTCTCCACTGCCTAAACCACCATGCCCTTCAGACAAAGCACTTCAATTTGTGCTTCA